GGTGATAACCCTATTTTAAAGGAAGCCATAATTCAAGCTTGTTTTATAGACATTTTATTGAAGATAATATTTTTTTTCTATAACCTCAAAATTTTTAAAAAAATTCGCGGGTATATTTTTTATCTAGTATCTGTAATAGGCTTTTGGAGTCAACCTCGACTAACCTTGGAGTCCTATATAATCCTTTGTGGTGAAGCGAATTGTAATTTGCATACAGTTTACATAGTAGACGAATTTAAGCGAGTTAAGTAATAATTGCTTGCCAAAGAAGGATTTAGAAATTCCAGTGGGTTACAAAGTCATATGCATAATGTTATGAAACAACATTATGTAATAATTGCTTTGTTATTTGCTATTATTATATTCGTTTATTGTATACAGTGTATGATGAATTTGTAAATCGTAGTTCATCAAAATAAAAATATATATACCTATTAAGTTATATGCAAATTATCATTTAGTATATACTATATATTTTGTTATAATTCCAATATTTGCAGCAATATTACAATTTCTTACAGAAAGTAAGCTCTAATATCATTCATACTGAGGATTATTTCTCTGGTCTCTTTTATAACATCCATTTATAGAGCAGTCTCTGTATTGTTTATTATTTATTTATAGTGCAATCTGTGAAAAAAATGGAAATCTATCGAAGTCATAACATATCATTTATAAGCTGATTAAAAAGAACAGTAAACAGAGTGTTCTTCGAGTAATGAAGAAGATCTGAATAGTAATCAGAAACATAAAACTGAGATTTACGGTTGCAAAAAGTCTCATCAAACATTTTGACGATGTTATTAGTCCATCGCGGCCTCGACTTTGCACAATTCTAAAAAAACGTTTCCTTTCCAACAAACAAATTTAATTTTACATTAAAACCCTTACTTTATTGTTGTTGCCCTCCAGTAGTCGACCGTCCGTTGTAATTGCGTTATGTTTTCGCTCTGTCGTACCTGGCATTAAACTGTCGTATTGGACTTCATAGAATTCGGATAAACACTGCTTTTTATTATATTTGGTTATAAAGAAAGAGCATTATATTGTTGCACTGGGATATTAAATCTCTAGGGTTCAATATTGCGACTCTTCAAACCAGAAAAAGAATGACATTACACGAATAGAAAGCTTCGTGTAATATTTTTGTTGTCTGGTTAACACTTCGGTGCTATTATATCCATGACACAATAAGTTATATGATATAATAGTAGGCTATATTCTGTCAATTTATATTGAAATATAACTATTCTCTTTTACTGTATTACTAGCTGTTATCCGGGAAAACGACCGCGTGGAATACAACTATTTAATAAAATACATAAAAATTCTAAAATCATAGTACCCTTAGTTACTCCTTATAACATCGACTATTTGTAAATTAAAATCGGTCCATACGGTTCAGAGATTAGCAAGAACAAACAGCCATACAGATACATTTTATTTAAATTACTTTTTTTATATACTGCACATACTTTCATATGTATTTAGTGACAGGCTGTTAATTTGACATTGAAACAGATCCTTCAATTTCATTTGATTGTATAGATGCAAATAAAAGAATATTCTATCTGTATATAATTTGCGATATATGAGCAAGGTTAGTAGGTAATTCGATTACTACAAGAGTGATAATAGCCTAATCTGACTGTAATATTTTTTGTTGGTCTACCAAATAGTATTTCGGAAACAATCAGTAACTATGTACCTCGGTCTACTAAGGTAGATTTTTCACAAAATCGTCTGCGTAGATTAAGGTAAGAAGGTATTTGACCAATTTTGGATAACAAACTGCTTACATCGTAAGCGATATTTCGATTTGAAGGTATATATAGAAGTGAAATATTATGATAAAAACGCATGTCACCTCATGCTGTTTGACGTAGTAACAAATTATGAGTGGTACTAAGAATATTATATGATGAAATGATGTCCGCAATGACGTTGATGTGTGTATATAGCAACAGTACCTATCTCTCCACAAAGTGAGATATCAGCTTGTTTCCTCTTGCAACTATAATAAGTGAAACTTGACACTCAATATAATTATAAAGTTGGTAACGTGGTCATTAAAAAAATTATTATAACAGGTACCTGGATGTTTACAAGCTGTTAATTCATGTAACATCACAGCTCTTTACATCTATAATGCAGTACAAAGCCAGAGGCCATTAGTTTTGTCCGTAACCCTAAAGAGTCGGCCACATATTATGCGAGTGAATACTCAACCGGTCCATTAAGAAAGGACAAACTACTAATGGCCTCAATCCTGGGTAAAGGACTAAAATCACGCACGAGGCCCATTTTATAGGCCTTTTGCTTATACATATTTAAATCACTTATTGTTTTCTATACTCTTTTACAAGAGGCTTATTAGTTTTAGAAATCATACATCATCAAATTCATTGTAGGTATTATTAACAGAGAGATGTACTAATAACTTTTATAAACCAGTCATTACCTCTTTGACTTGTGGTAATTAGTTCTGTTGCGGCAGTAACGTAGAATCGTTTTTTTTTGTGTTTTAAGAATTATTAACAGATATTTTTTTTTAAAAATGGCATTTGTGACTCTCATATAGTTATCGGAGTTAGAAATTTATAAAATTACAATTAGTGTAATATAAAATATTTTCCTATTATAGTTAGTTTTGAATAGTTTTAATATAAACGTAAATTTTACTGTCACTATTACATAGAAATCAGCTACTGCTGCTAAGCAACTTGCTTTATTTGTTCTATTCGCATTGAAAAAAAGGAATTATAGAAGACAATGGAATTATGAATTATTCAGGAATTATGGCATCACAGATTTCTTAATTTTAGTTTTAATGTAGGGGATGAATGTATGTAATTGTCATAAGCTGTACCGTCTGAATACCTGAATTCCTGAATACATAAGTTTATATACAACTCAGAATTAATGACATTAACATAAACCCAAACAATGAATTTAATTATCTTTATTAGTACAATACATCAAGAGAAAGTAAACTGGTTACTTTAATTAAAATCAGGTATGCCAATTTAAAGCAAGAAGGTGCTGTTTGCAGAACAATTTCATATCAAGAGGCAATGCAACCCTTACCTTACTCAGTGTGAAGGTGGTGTAAATTTATTATTTTATGATAAGATTATGTAAATCTACGATTTGATGAAATAAGGTTACATTTAATGTCCGCATATCATAATATTTAATGAGATTACGTACGCTATCTCACCTTACTCTCATCCAGTTTTTATTTTTTTTACAAATTTTAATTATTTGTAGGATGAAAATACATTGTCTATAGTGTATTGATAAACAAAGGAAATACAATGATTCAAATTTAGAATGGAAAAGAAATAAAAAAATAGCAGTGATTCAGTGACAGTAGACTAGACTTAATTCTTGTAAATAACTAATTTATACTAAGTCAATCTTGTGACCGTGACTTTTGTATGTTCAATAAGAAAAAATAATTCTGAGTTGAAAATAGAAAATGAAAACTACTACTCTCATTGGGTCTTGTGTCTAATTTTATAGTATAAAATGAACTTGTATATGTGCATATTGTTAAATTTTAAAGTTTTTTTGGTACCATATTCTTTTAAGTAGATAAATAAAAATGATCAATTTTATTAGTAATATTTAAGTACTTAAAATTAGATATAGGAAATACTGCGTATGCAAGGTAAATTTTCGAGACATTTAAATCATGAAATCATGCAAATTCCGCCATTATTCACGATGAGATTAAATGAATGGCAGGTTATTAAGCCACTAATTACCATAATAATGAAGGTAGTATCTAATATTCACTTGAGAGATTATGATACAATTAAGTTAACTTAGATATTAAAAAGTGGATAGGTTAGGAATAAAAACATTATAATTGAGTTCTTCGACTTAAGGCGCTGTCAGGTAAGATATACGTGTACATACATATAAGTACAGCAAAATGTATAAAATTGTTGTTGTAGATGAAAGATATATACTACTATTGAAGGTCTTTATCGACGTAATAAATTCGAAAAATGAGATGAATTTTTATATTCGTCTATGCATATAATAATAATAAATGACCCTGGACAATTAATACAGCGCCATCTAGTCCCACGGTAAGCAGAACATGTGTTATGGGTACTAACTAGATAAGTGATATAAATACTTAGATATTTTTTTTGGAAATATGTACACACAATTATATACTTAGAAAACACACAGACTGATAGAAATACTAATACTTATTTAATTTATGCAAGTAGATTTCAGAAACCTCAGATCTTATTTGGGCGCGATCACTATTGTATTATGGTAAGTTCATAAATATATTTCTGAATACAATGTAAATAAAACCTACCATTTAATAACAAAGTTACTTCTAACATTAGCGTTTCAGTGACATTATAACATTATTTTTTTCTTAACTTATAATTTTAGCGATGCAAACGAGCATTTATACTACGATGTCTATTATATAAACGACTCGTTCTTTAGTTATTTTGCTACTAGTACAATTTCTGACTCTCTTTCATCCACTATTTCCACTGAGAATACAAATATAATAAATGCCGTTGAATCGTTGAATTTATTCCCAGATATCTATCTGTATTAAACAAGAAACTTTCATGCCTATTTCACGGGTTTAATTCCTCGCCTGGTACAAATATTTGTATTCATGAGTATGATTGTTCGAATTTGTCTGAATGTTTTCTGTGTATTTCTAAAAATAATCTACATAAGTATTTCTATAATTTGTTTAGTACCTATAACACAAGATCTGCTTAATTTGGGACTAGACGATACTGTGTGATTTTTTCAGGGTTATAATTATAATGTCTTTATGTATATTTATATACATATATTTCAAATAACAAATAATGTCATTTGCTTCATGAAGGTAATTTGATGGCTATAAGAAGTTAACGAATAAGAATTTACGTCACACTGGTGGGTCCATAAAAGTACCGTACAATGATACTAACATACATGTTTAACTATAACACCAAGTACTGAACATGGACCTCTTTGTAGAGGAACCTCCGGGTGTTGAGAGTACAGATTTATTAATGTAATTAAACGGGTTTTAACACGAATAATTTTATGGTAAATAAAGGTCTCAACCTCTCTCGACGTTTCGACTAGGTTGCACTAGCCGTGGTCACGAGCTAACTCAATTCGTGACTACGGCTAGTCTAATCTGGTATTTTATGGTAAACAAAGGTGAATGCTTTTATTTACCATAAAATTGTTCTTGTTAAAACCCGTTTAACTGTAATAATGTATACTGAGCTATGTATACCGATATACTGAACATAAAACCGTCTCTTATAATTATTTCAATTTAAAATCTATGTCAATGGATAGTAATTTAGCTTTAAAAATGTTCTCCGTCAGTCTTTTTTTGTATTTTCTATATCTATTTCGGGATAATAAGCCACTACGCCACGATGCTCTTAAAGATAATTGAAACATATATAAATATTGGCATCTTAGTTTGCGGTACTTTCGTGGTTGGAGAAGCATCGATGGAATTATCAATCGACCTTGATCTAGCTTCAGAACAATTATTGTTGAGCGAACAAGTGGCTTATGGTAGCTTCGATCGCGTATTAGATGTGGTTGGATATTAACTAGTTATAATTTACCTATCTCATCATTTAATACAGCAACATTGTTATTATATCCATAGTTTTTATTAACGTTAAATATACATACTTCCATGTGTACAACATAGGTCATAAAATTTTTCAGAAAAAAAATCTCAAAACCGTGGTTCATTCCACAATCTCTTTATATAATGTAGTATGCGTGGTAGTAAACTACTCTAAATCGGTTATTAATTAACAGACGGTACATAGATAGCGTCTACAAATGTAAGCACGGACGAAGTTGCTGGCATCACTACTTTATAATCTTAACACAAATTCGCCAATATTTTATCTAATATAAGGATAACTCATAATTTTCCTCAAGTAACTACATCATGAAATCTTTAAAAAAATGTTATGAAAAGGTTTCTTTATAGCCCAAAGCGCACGTGACATAGTGTTTAGGAGTCTATTCTGTTTTACGTAATCAGATGGGAATTCATTGGATCAATGTTTTCGAAACAAAAATATACACAGTTGGATATAAAGTAACCAAGCGTAAATTTTTCTAATATACAAAAATATTTTAATAAAATATAGATAATATATTAGTTATAGATATAATAATATCGTATATATGTGTATCAATACACTTTTGATTTAAAAACTAAACATCGCTAAACATGTAAATCTTGTTCATGTTACTGTTAATATTGCATTGAAAAATAAAAGTAGATAATATTCATTACAATTTACATTTTAATAAAAAAAAACTCATTATAATTATGTGAAAATAAAAGGTCTTAAAGTTAAAAATAATATTTTTTAATTAAAAGATGTCGTATAACACTGAATATGTTTATTTTTCGAATCATTTACAAAGAATGTCAATAAAAATATTTTCTCAAACTTTAAAAGATCAAAGATAACTTGTTTATCGGTACTAGGTATTTCGATACACGTACACAGTAAATGAAATTAACAAAGTTTGCTTTGGTCAATTGGTATTTATTTCACGAAGATAAATAAGAAGGTCAAAGCAAGTTTTTCTTTGAAGTAAACGAGCAGAATCGCATTTTACCCGGTGGTTAATAATATCTGTAATAGTTCTTCAGTGTTGGAACATTGTCCCACGATCCCTCACGACTCACGACTGCCTGTTTACGCATCCTCGACCGTGATTTGTTGCCAGCCATTTTATTTGTCTTCCGTTTTTATTTTTTCCATCTCGCTAAACTCGCACTGTGCCTAAATTACATGGCTTTTCGTACGGAATGTAGGAGTACACAGTTTTAATTGAGAATCATATTTATTGTTTCAATATCGGATGTTTACGTTATTTTTTTACTGCTTTATTACTGTCTACTTTATTAATATTTCATTACGTTGTATACATTCAAATTCAATAGAAAAATTAAATGATTAAATTAATAAATCTACTAATATTTATAAAACTAAACATGATATTTTTTATCCCGTACAATATAATTCTCATTTAAAGGAATAGTTTTGCCAAATGTTTTTAATTAAATAAAGTGTAAGTATTATGATACTGTACATAGGATAAAATAAAAAAAGATTGGAAAGCAATGTCCTTAGCCAAAAACAATTCAGAACAATTGTTCACAATAACCACCCATAGGCTTTCATCAGTATTCATGAAAGATACGATGAAATAAAATAAATCATACAATGAAAAAGTAAATTTATTTGTAGGCGACTTTCGGCTGCAATAAAATCAGATTTAGACGGAGTCAACCATTCGCCTCAAAGACTGTTTCTCTTGTTATATATTTTGGGAGAGAAAATCACTTTAAGCGAACCTTTCAAGAAGAGTGCCAAGAGTAAAAGAATACTTAAACCAATTATACTGTTATAGCGAAATATAATGCAGTATAGAGATATCTTTAATCAAATACTGAATTTAAATAAAAGGGAGGTTTAAATCAAACTCGAGGACAGACCGGATAAATGTAAATTAATTTGAATGTCAAAAAGTACGTGTAATTTATTAAGTCGAAATTGTGTGATTTCGGGAAAAAAAATATTATAATTCAAAATATTATTATATTTAGATTTTTCAAAACTTTGGTAAGAGATGAATCTGTAATTGTGCCTATATAAATTTATAGTATTCAATGTTCTTATACTGCTTTTGATATATTAAGTAGCAAATATATATTTGTATTTATTTATATAGCATAGCATTGTTTAGAATTGTTATTGTTTTTTTTAGGAAATAAACGAGTTTACACTTTACCATCATGATGAAGTGATTACCACCGCCCACGTGCACGCCCGCTACGCCAGGGGAATTGCAGGTACATTACCAGCCTTTAAGAAGAAATAAGCTCTTTTCTTAAGGTTTCAATATCGTACTGGTTCGAATTAAATTGAGAAAGTGAAAATAGTATTGCTGGAAGGTGATTTCACAATGTGGTTGTACATGGCAGAAAGTTTCTAAAGAAACACAAGGTGGAGGATCGTCAATCATCCACATTATTAGGATGGTATTTTAGTTTCTGGCGGGTTTTAGTTGCGGAATGTTAAAATTCAGCAGCTGGTATTAAACTAAATCCTCAGAATACTCACCATGATATATGCACTAAAAATGCATAGTGATTCAGTAGATCGCTGAAGACAGTGGGTCGTATCTCTTACAAAGTCGTTGATGATTAATTGATGCTAACCGTTCGATTCCGAATGCGGTTAAATGGAATTAACTGGCACTTAACTAGAATTAACTGTCTTACTGTATTATTTTCAGTATGTGATAATAGTATTTCAAATGCGGCCGAATGTGTAATATATATATATATATATATACGTATATCTAATAGATTGTTCGATAATGAAAGCACCAAAAACAAATTAAATTAATATGAGAGATGTCAGTAGGCGCTCCTCTTCCCAAATAGAATTTGAAATACCCTGCGAAATGTGGGCATATGGAATTTTACATACACCGTGACATCGACGGATTACAATGTCCTAACTACCCCAATTTGGTATTACAGTCATGAAGGTATATTACTATAAATAGAAATTTATTTTTTTAAATCATACAGTAAATACATGCATTACCTCTCTCTCCGTAGTCTAAACCATTCCTAAAAGACATTATACCTAATAACAAAAAGACTTCAACATCGTAATACCTTTTCTAAGTGCTGTGTAAGCTTTTCTCGATAATATATTAGAATTGGAGTATTTTTCAGTCTTAAAATTGAATCTAATAAATTACAGATCTACAATCTAATATATTTATTCTTTATCTGATTATTATCTAAAATAACAATTATTAAGCTTTGTAATTTTCAAAATCACGCAATATTACCTAGTTAGCTTAAGTAGAAAATTTAGAGTTATGTGGGAAAAATAATATATATTACCATATATTGAAATATGATTGAAGAGAATGTCCAATAAAAATTTTGTTCCCTGTTTTTAACTTGAATAATTTCTTTTTTATGTAAATCTCCTGGAGCCCTCAAACACGTTTTGGGTAAATTTTGATATGATTATTCTAATCCTATGATAATGAGGAAGAGTAGGAACAACAAAAGGTATAAATTCTATTAAAAATAAGAACGCATATCTGTAGGTTGCAATTCAATATTTACTTTAAAAGTTATTAATTTAAAAGATACAAACGATATTAATAAATATAAAATATTTTTGAGAGATTACTTACGAACGAGTGTCGATGAAATTAAAATAAAATGCAAACTTTATTACTTCAGTTTGGTTACTTAATATCTTGAACTTGGAGGTACTACTGTACTATACTTAAATCAAATTATATATAGGAAACAAAAGATACATATTTATCGTACTAAATTGAGTTTTTGTAATTACTATTTTATTCACTGGAGACAGTCGCATAAAGCTTTGCGTCTGCAGATATATTTAATAAGCAAGTAAAAATTTACGCCTGCCTACTTAACCGTGTTTTACTATTCATTACCTCGAGTTTTCACTAAAATACAATACATATCGTGACTCTAATGCTATTGTATCATTTTCATACATTTTCGAAATGTATTTCTACGGCACGTATATAATTTAACATGAAAACTAAATTAAATATCGCATTTTGATAGGAACGTAGGACTTAATTGTGACTACTTATATAACTACTTGGCTTTGGTTTTCATCAAAATAACCGTGATAAATTATAAGAGTAAACGGTCAAGGGCGGAAAGGAACGGTAGCTGCATACCATTAATGGAAAGTAAGCTAGATGTCACCATTGTCGTTGTAAAATAATGAATAAAACTTGCTAGAAAAGAATATTTCACTTAATTGATCATAAATATATTCTATCATGTCTACACCAATTATTACTTAATTTCATGACAGAGAGACCAAGAGACGTATGAGTCTGATCATATGTCTCTTGTTCTCTCTGTCTCGTTAACGCGGGCTACAGAACAAAATTATCTGTAATACTGAAATTGTAATATTGGATTAAGTCTCATTATAAATTATGAATGTAATAAGTTTTTTTTATGTAATTGGAATGGAACAAACGGACCCTATCCGATGGTAAGTGGTAACCGTCACCTATATACGTAAACAACACTACGGAAATCACATTCTCATGTGAGGACCATGATATGACTCTTGCGTTACCATTTCAGAACACAGAAATATCATGTTTCTTATTGTGTGATTTCATTAGATGTTATTCTATTCAAAGTATAAAATGTACTTCTTAATTTAAGTAAATCAAGTTAACAATAAGATAAGAAAATTAAGGTCTTAATATGTTAAATAAGACCCTATGAACACTGCAGTCTTTCAGCTCGAGATTACGTAATGTTTCCATTTAAATTTTAAAGATTTTCAAGATACACCTACATCCAGGTTCTGTCTCCTTAGCTTCTGTTTTAATCTGATCGGTTCGTATCTCTCATAAAGGTTCAGAATGTGGTAGAAGATATAATATTTTATAATAAATGGAAGAAAATATTTTTTGTTTCATAATCATCAAAAGTATAAAGAAAGTTTAGTATAATCGAAAAAGGAATGTTTATTTTTTGTATCAACTTATTTGCCCATTCAATTGTTTAAACCAAATATTTGGGAAGCCATATGCATTTTATAATTATCTATTTTAAACAAATTAAATATATATTGCTTTATAATTAATAATATTTTTATGATTTGAAAATACTACCATATTATTATAATTATTAGTAATAATAATAATAGGTAGTAAGTATTTGTGAAAGTAAAGAAACACTAAGTAATAATTTATTACTTAGTGTATATTTACTTACACAAATTCATATATTTATCTAATAATATACGGATATCTACTTGAGAAGTACTGCATAATTGAGTAGATAAATATTAAAAAATCTTAAATTCCTTATGTGTAGGTTACTAACCTACGGTTAGTTAGTATTTAAAAATATTAAAAAAAACTCACAATTGCAAGATATCTAAAAATTAAAGTAATTTTAAAAGTATGGAAAATTAAGAAACTTATGTAACTTTCCATTTTATTAATTGAAAATGATCTAATTTATTTAAATAAAGGCATTCGGAACTGAAAAATATGTGTATCTCTCGATTTAAAGTTTTAACTTTAAGTGTTGACATCTTGAAGTATGTTATTTAATATTTTTTCACATCTGAGAAGAGAGTAAGTTTAGGAATAATATTTATATACTATACAGCATATGACTTACCACAGTCGGTCTACAGTGTCAACAGTAACTGCTGTCACCAGCCTTCACCAACACAGTAATCCTGACTATTATATAATGTCTTCACGAATAAAAATTTTCACAAATTATGAATAAATGCTTGACTAGTTAAGATAACGAACAGCAAATTCTAAATTTAAATAGTAGACTTGTTCTCGTACGGAGTGAGTGAAGGTGCGCAGGGGATGTAGCGCACACGTCTCAACCCTGCGAAGCTCGAACGGTGACTGAAGCTGAAATATTCGGTAGTTCCCGAGGGTAGCAATCCGCCGGCGTGAAGATAAAGTCCAGTAGTGCTTGCGCTAAGCAGATTACGAGCTTGTTTCGGATATCTCTATCCTCACTGTCGTACTTAACCGCTTATTGACGCGTTTGTAAGGTAAGAACCTCAAAAGATACCGGTTGGAATCTCGGCTTTGTAGATACTAAAAACTACTTTATATAATCCTTTTCAGTTAGGCCTAAAATAAACATTCGATTTACTAGACTGTCAAAGAAATGACGACTTTCTCGTGCGTATAGGTACTTAGCCGTGTTCGGATACATGGTACACGATGCAGCCTACAGCTTATCTATTCATATTTGCCTTAATAGTGAGGTTTATATGTCTAAATTATGATAATAGCTTCGTATCATCATCATCATCAATTTTAGCCTGGAAAACTGCTGAACAAAGGTCTCCCCTAAAAATCTTCAAGACGATCAGTCCTGCGCTGCTCGCATCCAACGCTTTCCAGCAATCTTGATCAGTTCGTCAGTTCACCTTGTCGGAGGCCTTGCCACGCTGACTCTTCCCGTCCGCGTATCACTTGAGGACTATATATATCCCCGAGTATATATGAATCGAGTATGTATGAATTATATTGTGACTTAACTCTCGAAAATATAATAATATTGATAATTTTGAAAGAAAATAACACATTAGGAAGTTCAGTTTTATCAGTTACCACCTGATCATAGAAATGGCAACTCATCAATAATATATTTTGTGACGTATTAATGATAGGTACAATTTATATGATCACATATTTTAACATTTTTGATTTTTACACGTAAAATGAGATTTTGACTTCGTTTCGTGCAAGGTTATTGAGCTATATAGATCCTTCTCAACACAATAGCCTCTATGGAAATGTACGCTTTGTAATGTAAAGATCAGGGATGAATCGAAGACATTAACAACAGATCTTGTGTTACTTTTTAGTAACGTATTTGTGAATTCTTTTATCGACGTTATTTTTGGGGTAGGTATTATATCCATATATATAGATATATTGGGCAATTGTAAAGATTTTTCTGAAAGTGTTAATTGTGTAGGTATATTTAAATATCAAATTTAATATTTAGATACGCCTACCCAATAAAGGTGGATATTTACTCATATCACTCATTCAAGTCAAGATTTCCAGATCCAGCTCAGGTTACAGATTCAAATAAAAAGAATTAACACAAACCTTTTTTAAAGTAAATTTGTTAATATTAGTTATTTATTTAGGCGTATATACCTAATATTAACTGAAAATACCGGACATAAACAATTATTTTCATTGTCGTTTAGTTTTAGTGTTAGTATTCAGTTAGTGCTCAGTATCTTATTAAAAGTTTAAAAATTTATTTCAGCTTACTCCAATAGATCAACATTATACCTATTCTAATAAAATATCTGTTGTCTTTTTGTAATTGATAACAGTAAGTTCATAGTTAGTCTAGTACATTAGGGTTATTAATATAATTGTATTTTGGCACTGAATAAAGATTCTTGCGTACATACACAATGCTCTATACTAATATATACACCATATACGTATCTAATGCCTTAGTAGACAAAGGAGATTTTGGCTGCAAACTGCAGAATTCCTCCTTATATCAGCTGCATATTTACACGGACAGGTATTGTCCATTGCATAGACGTATGTATTCCGTAATAATCCATGTTTGCAGAGCGTTAATGCATTAGTGAATTAATTATATTTAGACGTTACAATACGACAGTTATCAATGAAGAGTAATTAGAAGTATTATACATTTTAGACGCTAATTTAATGTGAACACATTTCATCAATAATATTTGAATATGGTTAAGAAACTATTATCATCTCTTGGTATAATTTAATTAGTTGCCGTTATTTTCTATAACTGATGAGTACACCAATCTGAAAAGCAGGTGAAATACTTATAATTTAAAGAATCTGAAATACTGATTTTTTTTTTGTTTTCATATATATTATATGATCAAGTGACCACGTAGTTTACATAATATATTTTTTTCATTAGATTCACATAAGTATTTTCCTTCATTTATTATTACTCTATGAACTGATGTCCCGCCAGCATATACTATTAGGACATGCGGGTCCATTTCATTATCATCAATTGAAAGTAAAAAAGTTATCCTGCGTACATAAATGAAATGATAAGCAGAATCCTATTAAGTAAAGGAAGGTCATGAGTCATCAAGTTCAATATAAAAGACGTATTAGTGTCTGATATTAATTTTTCTACAGTTATGACACCAATTTCATGCAAAGTTTTAGCATGTTAGCGAAATATGAAGTTATAATGAATAATCGCAAAAGTTGACGGAGTTTAAAATTGAACTGTCCGCATTTGGAGTGAATATTAATTTTGCGGATTCTAGTTGTCATTTATAACACAAAACGAATTTAATGTAATGTGCAGCAATTAATATTAAAGCTTTTAAAATTTATTGCACGAAAGAGATTAGGATTATGGGGATTATTTATTTAGAATATTTCCATATTAGTATATCATATTTATTACCAACCTTGAGGTTGAGTTTTACTTAAAATGATAGTTTTGATTATATTCAGAAACAAGCTTAGCCCACGACTTAGTTCGGCTGTACATTTAATTATTACCTACCCAAAGAGTTAAATTATAATTCTTCATTGTATTTATGCTTATATAGACATACATATACATATATATACACACATTTACACATACATACTATAGTTGTTCTTTAAAAATAATAAACTAACTTCTTTAACATATTTTGCTGCTTATAGGTTTCTAATTTTTTTTGCGATTTGTAAGTTAATCCTATTTTAGTTTAATAGTAAGTAAGTCAGACAAGCTAGTCAGAAAATAAATCAAAATTAAATCGCCCATAGAGACAAAATACAGCACCTCATTGTATTGTTTGCTCAAAACCACTGCTTTCCAGGTATAGCGCAGGGACATACGTGAGTACGCATGCAACAAGAACGCCGCATCCAATCAGCTCAACCCAATAGTAATAAAAGTAATAACCTGTGACAATTAAATATCTACTCGTAATCTACTAGTAAGTACTATGATTATTACGTATATAATCTTTGGTATTATAATCTAGCTATCATCATGCCAAACACTTGCTCGGTAAGATGTATTATAAAATACAGTTCTTGAAATATGTTGACTACAATACTACGGTTATCCTGTGATAAAAAAATAAATACACATCTAATACGTAGCTTATAAATAAATTCATCGATTACGATTCAGTCAGTAATTCTATCGCTCTTGTTACCTATCTGTCCAAGTGATGAAATTGTATTATGAGCATCATTAGGAATAAATTTGAGTGGCGACAAAAAGCCCTTAAAATTGCTTCTCATTTGTATAACAATAACCGTTCGCGACTGTATTTTTATTCTAAAAGCCGTTTTCCTCGTCGTCTTTCTCCTAACTCCATTACAAATTACATTTGCCAATAATATGATTTAAATGACAACTTTCCAATGGAGACAATGAATATCAAAGTTAATCGAAAGACACAATCAAGCTATTTATGTTTCTACCAATGTTTCTGTTGACTTTCTTAAGAAATTACTACAAACAGACATTCAGTTCTTTGTCAAAACTGTACAATAAATTGTGAACTTAAATTTGCAACATCAACACTGCAGAATAACTTGTTAAATTTATTTTATTGTTAACTTACAGTCGCTGAATTAATTGACCGATTCAGATAATTCACTTGTACAGTTCTTGTTTGTGAATGTTTTATATTATTCTATTGTTATAAAATGTAGTAAATGAGTTTATTGACTTTTTAATACCATCTGTCTAGCCTATGATATAACTGACTTGAAATAAAAATAATCTTTATTCAAATACACTTAATACAAGCACTTTTAAATAGTCAGAGTGCTTTTATTAAGTTTTTTTTACCATACACTTTAGATTTGATAAAACTTTTGAATATTATATTATCTGTGCTTTTGACTTTTATATACAATTATATACCATTATGTGTACCGCCAAACGTTGTTTTGTCCTATAAATTAAGATATCGCTATTAAAACACTGTGGTGGACTGTAAAATGAATAAAAAACAATAAAAAAGTTTTAGTATTCACCCTTATTACTTAGCGATATAAAAATAAATAACAAATTATTTTCAGACTGACCGAGTACCTATATATACAAATCGATTCAGTAGTTTAGGATTCTATCGCGGACAAAGAACATACTTTTCATATATTAAGGCACATTAAAATAAATCATGTTTTTAATTACAATTCTTATATAGGAAGACAATTACTCTATTCTTCAATATGTTTATAACAGAATATTCCTTAGATATTCATTATGCGTACAAATATTATGTACGTATTCTCCCTCGTTACATAAAAGATATGGAATTAACACAGTAGGTACCTACTGTACCTGTACATGTACCTGTACCTACTTCCTATAAGCTAGCTTTACTCAAATTATGATCAAAATGTTGGTGTCGAATTTCGGATATTTGAAGTCACGATCATTGAGATCTTTTTGAGACGTAACAACAAAGCCGTACACAAAACGCTCTGCTTTCTCACAGATAAGATCAAAGATTATATGATATCTTTGTAATTACTGACAGCTACCTTAAAGGTACGGTAGCAATATTAATCAATGTCCATCAGATAGAATGGCAAGGGTGACAAGACGTTTACCTTATTGCTAACAAGTTTCGGGACTTTAGAACTCGACAAATTGCCTATTCAGGATTTTCGGCACGATTTTTTGTAATTCATCTAACTTTTGGATACAAAATGAACTTAGTTCCAAACATTCAACAAGTTAAAGTACCTTGGACTACATACCATTTTATGTGAAAAAAAAAAAATGGTAGCTAATCTTCAACTGACGACTGAAATTGAAAACTAAGTAGTATACTTCGCAGAACCGAGTATTTGTGTACAAGT